TAAACCTGCCAGAGCAAGGTAGGAACATAGCATGTTAGTGGAACTACAAGTAACTGAGCAACTTACTGTTGATCTGTGACACATGTTCATAGTAGTGAGGCTCCATTTACACATAGCGGTTTGAAAATCAGCACGGATTTCCGCGCTTTTGTCCGTGCGGCAGGAAACGTGCATCCTGCCAGAGCAAGGTAGGAACATAGCATGTTAGTGGAACTACAAGTAACTGAGCAACTTACTGTTGATCTGTGACACATGTTCATAGTAGTGAGGCTCCATTTACACATAGCGGTTTGAAAATCAGCACGGATTTCCGCGCTTTTGTCCGTGCGGCAGGAAACGTGCACATATTAACATACGCACGGATTCTACACGTTTGCGGCTACTACTATAGCTGGAACGTGCGTAATCCGTCCAGAATATCACGCTTAGACTTTTTTTTGTGAACAAGGTATATTGGAATATATTCGTTTTGTGTGGTTCCGCCCGTACGAATACGTGCGGAAAACCGTGTGAATGGAGCCTAACAGAACAGATGCAACTCTGATCCATGACAGTACTGACATCAATATTTAGAATGGCTTGTTCTTCTTCCAGAGATAAACCCTACAGAGCCCATTCGTCTCTCACAATGCTCAGATTCATAACATTGCTTCGAAATCTTGGGCTCTGTGTATCACTCCTAATGAGTATTGAGCCATAGAGTATTTCATGCAGCCTCTATTGCTTAGTTCCGAAACATCTACCTGGGTTGCCAAGGTGTTTCTTCAGTTTATAGTAAGCTTTTTATGTATTTCTCAAAGCCACAATAAACCGTAACTGTAAGAGCACTGGCTTTAAAGCTTTGTTGAGTTTTCTAAGCCATTGTAAGTCAGTGCCCACAATTTTTCATCTGGAGATCTACTTTTCAAATGACGAGCTCAATGAGATCTACCAACAATAAAAAACACCTGCATTCAGGGGCGGGAGGAGGCGTGGTGGTGCATTGAAGTCAATGGCACTGCAGCCAGTCTCCTTGCCAACATTGCGATCGCCTGCACCCGTGCCTTCGTTCCGGTCTAGTGTGATCGGCAAAAATGCTGTGTGCCTGCGTTCCGGGTGTGGGCGATCGCACTGTGGGCGGGTGGCATGGCTGCGGTGCCATTGACTTCAATACAACCCCACGCCCCCTCCCGCCCCTGAAAGCAGGGAGTCGGTCGGCTTGCATCCCAGTGTGTCCTAGAGGCTCCGGCGTCCTGTTCTCTCGTGGTGCTCATGTGGCCAACGTTGCACATGGGGAGAGGTGTCCCGCCCCTTTCCGTCTGCGGCGCCTGACACATTCAGCCGGCAGCCGCACGAGCACCGCGGAAGCATAGCCATAGCCAGCTTCTTTTGCGCCCGAGGCAAAAAAAATGTTACATTTTTTTAATTTTAATTTATTTTTTTTACTCTTGGGGGGGCTTTGGGGAAATATTAGGGGTTTAAACAGACCCCTGATATTTTCCTTTTTAAAATAGAAAAGAAAAGAAATTGAGGACACAAAGTCCACAATCTCTTTTTCTGCAGCCTCTGTTCTAAATGAATGGAAAGCACAGAGGCTTCCCATTCATTCAGAAACTATTTACTATCATGCAGTTTCTGAATGGGGAGAAGCCTCTGTACTACTCCCCATTGAGAAACTCATGAATGAACAGGAAGTGATGTAACACTATGAATGATATGTACCGATCCTCCGCCGCTCAGCCACGCACATGGGGGCTCAGCTTCTCTTTTGGATGCCCGCTGCTCTCCTGGGCAGAGGCAGCGGGGGATCCGAGGAGAAGTAAAAGAAGCGCTGCAGCCGCGGGGCAACGGAGGAGGTAGCCGGTGTCACAGAACTAAGGCCAAGCGGAGAGGAGAGAGGCGCCGGCTGTCAGATCCTGGCCGAGCGTCTCTCTCCTCACCATTTGGCCTTAGTTCTGTGACAGCAGCTCCCTCCCCCGCCACCGGCTGCAGCGGTTCCTTCATTTCTCCTCGGATCCCCTGGGAGAGCAGCGGAGATTCAGAGGAGAAGCCCCAGGACATCGCAATCTACCAGTGATCGCTACGCAATCCACTGGTAGATCGCGATCGACCTTATGGGCACACCTGTTGTAAGTGGTTTTAGTATTTAGAATATATCCATTTGAGGGTGAGGCAGGGAGAAAGACTACATGAACGGGCACTGGGTCAGGGGCTGACAGAATTGTTACATAATATATTTTCAGCAATGCACCATGTCATTAACAGTTGCTATCTTTAAAAACATTTCTTACAGATGCCTCCAAAGGAGAAAGAGGCGTCTCAGAAAGAGGTTACCCTTTTGTCTAAAATGAAACACCCAAATGTTGTAACCTTCTTCACGTCATTTAAAGGTTTGTTGTTGCTTTTGTAATAGATACACATAACCCATCTTCTCATGAAATGCCCTGTCTAATCTCTTACTAAACTGTTCACTACTTCAGTTCATTCCAGCTACATGCGTAATAGCAGATTATGGGAAAGAATTTAGAGATAGGAGCTGGGCTGTATTTACCACAGCAGGGTTAGAGGGGCAGCATCAAGCGTCAAAAATTGTGATAACCTTATGACTACATTCACATCTCTGCAATGTGACATCGCAGGTACAATGCAGGTTGCATTGCGGTATGAAAGGGCAGACCATTTATTTGAATGGGCTGCCTACTGCATCTAAATTGCACTAAAAGAAATACTTGACCCTTTTTAAAAAATCACATTGCACCAGAATGCATGGTAATGAATCGCCATGTGTTGTGGTGCAATGCAATGGCTAGGTGCGCTGGGGTGCCATAAGGAAATAATGACATCACAGCACACCTGACAGAGTAACATGTGATCCTATGTAATGTGGGATCATGTGCATGATCTCCAAAATTGCAGAAATGTGAACAAAGCCTAACTCATTGATCTCCTCTTCTGTCCACCTCTGGACATTTCAGGGTAAATTCAGCAAGAGAACTGCAGGGAGAAGGAGTGACTGTGGGTGTTGAAGGGAGTCACAAGGTTTTTCATAACTCAAGGAACATTTCATATCATGCATATAAAGCAGACCACATGCTACCTCCAATAGCAAATTAGAGCATTAGTATTTGCTATAAGGATCACATGACACAGTCGATAGAGCTTTTACAAAAGGTAGTCATCATTAAGGCGTGCCTGGGGTCTTGGTGTAAGTCTAAAGGTGCGCATACACTGGCCGAATTTCAGCCGGTTTTTAATGTAATGGCCAAAATTTGCACAGTGTGTGGGGCTGTCGGCTCCCTATCAGCCGGTATTCCTCGATCAGCTGATCGAAGGAGGCGGCTGGAAAATCTTTGTAGCCAATGAGCTGCCCGCTCTGATCGAGTATTCTGACAGGTGCCGGCGACACCTTTCAGAATACAATGTAAACAGCGGCGATTCCTCGATTGACACGCTGTTTGTGTTGATGTAGGGATCGCGATAGGTGTATGGCCAGCCTAAGCACATCCCTAGGGGTCATGATAGTTTGGAGCAGCCATTTTCTCCTGTAGGATCAAGTTAAGATGCTTCCCTCTCCGGAAAAACGTAAGTATTATCTGTAAAATGGTTAATTACATGGGTCAGTCCTCATCATTTTCTCTCCTTTATCATACTTATGTTTACAATGTATCTCTACATCTGTAGATGACTGTACCATGTCTCATTCTAGAGAAGAATAGTCTGTACATTGTGATGGAATACTGTGATTGTGGCGATCTGGCGAAGAGAATAAACAAGCAGAGAGGCATTCTCTTTGATGAAAACCAGGTAAGGAATGATTTTGCTGAAGTTCCTTACAGTGTAACTTGTACTTTAATACAGAAAGACCGTCTTGGCCAAGGTCAGAGCTCCTAAAAGTGATTTTTCAGTTTTTGGTAGATGTTGGAGAATTCCCTGCACTTGTGTTCTCAGGTTTGCATATCCCCCCTGATTGTTATGAGAGGGTCTCACTCTTTTTGTTAAATGTTTAGTTTATTATTTAAAGGAGAAAATTAATGGAGTAACAACACGAGAACTTCAAACCCAAACTCCAAGAAGGGCAGCGACAGACCTACAGATACAGATAGATATTAGCATTAGAGGAAACAGACACCCCAAGGAGGAGGCATTTTGTAACATGAAATTAGTTACTGAGCTTGTTAGTGGCTTCTATGGGTGATACAACATGCTACATAATCATGAATTGATCACAAACTACTTGTGGAGGATATTAGGTCTAGCTAGCTAGGCTGAGACTTATCTTGTACAGACTTGACTCTGAAAACAGCTATACAAGATGTTATTGCATTTTCCCTACAATTGCACCATTGATGAAATTGGGCCATAATTAATCTTTTGAGCATGCATCTCCTTTTATCCTGGAACTGAAGCAGGTCATGATGTAACCATGTGCAGTTGGAAAAGCAAAGTGATACCTATGATCTGTTTGTTTAAATAAGAGAGTTTATTGAAATTCTCCTATTTATTCATATAGTCTACAGGTAAAAACGAAATTTTCCAAATAACTATTTTAAAATTATATATTTGTTCTTATGACAGATTCTCAGTTGGTTTGTGCAAATTTCTTTGGGACTGAAGCATATCCATGACCGCAAAGTGCTTCACAGGGACATTAAGGCGCAGGTAAAGTCATGTGGTTATTCTCTGAAGGCAAATCAGCTAATCATAAAAGTGTTTATTTATTGGGTTATTCTGAGATATTTCTCTTTTACAGAACATATTTCTTACCAGTAATGGGACGATCGCCAAATTGGGAGATTTTGGTATAGCAAGAATGTTAAACAAGTAAGTTGTATAATGTTATGTTTGATGATGAATAGTAATTACAAAAAATCATCACAAGCGCCCACACCCGCAGCTGTATTGAAGTGCAGAGTAATACACTCCCGAGGCAGCTCCCACTGGTCAGGGTAACCGGCAAACTGAAATAAAAAACAAAAGGAGCGCCTCCATCGTGTAAAACATCTTAATTAATTGGTAAAAACAGCTAAGACCCTACTTACAGACATATGGAATTAGCAGGCATGTAAGTTAAATGGATGAACGAAGACACGGATTATTCATAAAAGCCTCAGCCAGCAGGCTGCAAGCTCAACACGGTTTACGCGTTTCAGATGCCACGCCTCCTTCCTCAGAACCAATGGATTGCTCCTCCTATGTCACACTCTTAAAACCACAGTGGTGACCAATCACGATCTGCCACTGAATTTGAATCACCAGGAACCAAAAAGCCAGTCACCTCTGGCCAAACCCGTACTGCCGGCTTTTTTTGTAAACTAATTTAACCCCTAGTATACATGGGGGCCAAAAGAAATTTGAACGAAAAAATGGCCAAAAAGAAAAAAACCCTATCGGTGCCGTGTAAAAAAAGCAGAGAAGGCAACGTTAGACTGAAATTCTGTGTTAACCCACTAATGGGAAGCGAACAAATGTGCATATCAAAAAATGATCACTGTATGTACATCATTTTATGCTAATTATCTCCCCACTTGTTTTGCTGTTTGTATAAAACATAGAAAAATACATCTTCTAATGCTCACATGGTCTGATATATTTAGCTTAAAGTGACATTAAACCCTCAGATTTTTTAACATAAAACAATACTGTAATGTGTGCCTTACTGTAATCCATGGTTGTTTCCCTTCTCTTTGCTGCTCTTCCTTTTAAATCTGTATCTCTTCTCATGCTGGGCAGAACTTCTGTTTTGCAGCAGACTGCCTTGTCTCAGGAATGGATATATGGTGTCTGTGTGTAGGTTTACAACCTGAGCCAGCACTACAGGAAGAGGCACTCAGCTGCAAAGGGAAGTTCTCCCCCAGCATGAGAAGAGATAAGGATTTAAAAGGAAGAGCAGCAAAGAGAAGGGAAACAACCATGGATTACAGTAAGGCACACATTACAGTATTGGTTTATGTTAAAAAATCTGAGGGTTTAATGTCACTTTAACACCTTTGGATATTTTCTTGTAAATATACACATTATTATACTAATTAAGACTATTTAATTTGTTTTTCCCATCAAAGCACAATGGAATTTGCGCGTACATGTGTTGGGACTCCTTATTACCTTTCTCCAGAAATCTGTGAAAACCGGCCTTATAATAATAAGACGTAGGTGATTGGTAACATGTAGCTACATTGAGTATTTCAGCTTAGAAAGTTATTATAACTCTGGGTTTAATTTTTTTTTCCTATTCTCTTTCTTCAAGGGATATCTGGTCTCTTGGCTGTGTGTTATATGAACTGTGTGCCCTTAAACATCCCGTAAGTAGTGTAACTGGTGAAAGAAGATTTGTTATAAATACAAGAATGAATCAGATTTTTTAAATGTAAACTAGACAGTGCAGGTAAGTCCTGAAAATACAAACCAAGAACGTTTAAGTCAATTGCTGGAAGGAAGATATCAACTCATAAACAAGAGCATATATTGCCATATCCATGGAGCTGTAAGGTTTGGGCAGCATTATGGGGCACTGACTTGGCCATCAGAAGTTGGGCATATTATAGTACAATAAATTAGAAAATGAAGAAATTATGTGTATGTCAAAATTAGTAACCAGTCAACTGCAGGGGTCCTGCACGTTCACTGGCATGTTGTGGAGAGAACATACAGTATACACTATACACTGCAATAAGGGCTTTTGTACCAAGTACCATGATGCTCTTTATATATTGATTATTGGAAGGAGACCTGTGTCTTTCTTGCTACAGTGCTGTTTGGAGCACAAATCTGCAGCTTAAAAACAATGTATTTTTTTTGCTTGAGATAGAAGATATGTACCTGGATTAATCCAGTATGAATTTCTGAATAACATTAAAATAGGATTCATTATGTGAATATTGTATATGCTATGTCCTCTAAATACAGTATAATGTCCAGCCTTTAAACATGTACTGATTTAACCTGCCTAGTATTTGGATCTTATGAAGATCTAACCTATAAAAATACATTTATTTTAGCTGGTGAATTTCCTTTGAATTGCGCTGGTTTAGTTGATTTACTGTATTTTTTTTCCCTTCAATTCTGTTAGTTTGAAGCCAGCAATTTGCGACAGCTGGTGCTGAAAATCTGCCGTGGTAGTTGTGCTCCCCTTTCCTCAAGATATTCATATGATCTTAGAACACTTATTTCTCAGCTCTTTAAAATCTCTCCACGTGACCGACCATCCATCACATCCATATTGAAAAAGCCATTTTTAGAGAAACGCATACCCAATTTTTTGACACCAGAGGTAAGTTTGTCTCCCCTTGCTGCTTATATATTTAACTTGGAGTAGTTTTTCTGGGGAATATAGCTACAGGGGTTGGAAAGGTTACAACAGTGTCCTGGACTGGAGCGAACAGGTCCTCCTCTGGCTGGTGTCGCCACCTGTGCTCCCCATAAGTAATTATCTGCTTAGGGATAGATCTGCAAGCCCTGCATCATTACCCTGAAGGGCTCCTCTTACCCCAGTAGTTATCTAGGTATGAAGGTACTTTTATGTTGATTAACATGTTGAGTATTGATACTTTACATTTTTTAGACGCTATTTATTGAATTTTTTTTATGTACACATATTCAGCAAGCAAAAGAGAGAAACACATGTGGAGTCCATTAAAGAAGAGTGGACTGGCATGCCCTTTTTATAGGGATTTGAACAATATAACCATATCTGTTACCTTGAATCAGAAAATAATGTCACCGTGTACTCGTATTAAATCATGACAAGAACATTGGATAGATCTTTTTGTCTTGATAAGACTCCATCACATCAAGGTCAGCTGTCTTGGTATTGAACCTATTGTTTCTTAACCCAAGTTCAAAAAACATGTTTATGACTTTCTGTCCTTGAACTCTTGCTACCTCGACCTATAAGGCCTAAATGTTCTACATGAGCTCTAGGATCATCACCCAGGACACTTCTTAACCCATTAGTTATGTAGATATTATGGTACTTTTATGTTGATTACATGTTGACAGAAAGCATAGTGTAGATACTTTACATTACATTGCCACACTAGCAATGTGGGGTCCTTCTTAAGTTTCCAGCATGGCATGTTTACAACAATAAGGGTCTTGATGTTATAGCAGAGACCTTTGAGTTGGCTTGTGTGGGAATACCACATGGTCCAGACCGTCTTTCCCCCAGATATTATCAAAATTGTTTTTGTGGCCACTAATTTGATATGTCAATTTATATAATGTAAGCTAACAGTTATATGGCTAATCCACCCCCCAACATCAGACCATGATATAGATTCCATTATAGAGTAGCTGCTTGGCTTTATTGCTTTCTCAAATATATATTTGGATATTTATGAATGTGCAGATCTCCCAATATTCCCAAAAAACAAATCTTTAGGTAGTTTATGTTACGAAAGACAAAATAATGTGCAACAAACTCAGTAATTAATGATCAAAACTTTTGTATTTGCATACAGCTCCACATTGTTCGTTAACATTTGTTTTTGGCTGTACTTTATACTCAGTGTATGATTAAAAACATAAGCAAAGGTTACTTTCAGCGAAAACATATCAAAATGATCAGATGCTAAGATATCGGCACCTGATGATAGATGCAATCTCCACTTTATCTGTAATACTTGAATTGTATACTTTCTCATCTCTCTTTTAAAAGAATAAGTTCACTGGCTCTAGGAAAACCCATGAGGTTAATGTATATCTAAATCCAAAACTTTTTCCATTATGGATAGAGTAGGGAATAGTTTAAACCAAAACAAGGGATTTTCTCTAGGGGATCCGAACTATAAGGCACACCGCTCCTATGGGGATAAGATAGGCCTGTCTACCGTATCCGTGACCGGTGCTGCATTTCAAAAAACTGGGAGGGTTGGCTAAAGAGGCTAGCCAAACCAAGAGGTCACTCTATGGAACGGGACACGCCAAAGTAAATATCAGATATGTTTATTATACAAAATTGTTGATTCTTCAAAAATAGTACAAGGACATCACCGTCTATCACCAATTGGATTAAAAATACATAAATTGTCTGCAGACTAAAAAGACAAACATATAGTGGTGGCCATTGGATGATTCAAGTAAATTCAATCATTGTATGCAAAAATACAATGGGACTCCGTGGATCCGCACCGTAAAAAATGTAATGGATTCAACTCTCATATGAAGAGTATAATGCAGCAAAAATAGAGCATGAATTTGATAATAAGCGGAATTTGTTGAAAATTACTGATGATAGGTATACTAGATGATGTAGTTCATAGCCGTTGTAAACAAAATAGTTTTTTGAACTTAGTCCAGGCAGTTTCTTTTATGCGTGATTATGGTCACAATGAAACAATGATTATACCAATCAGCAGGACCTTACTGTATCACTTGTGTGAGGACTTCAGCTGTGTTAGACTTAGATGGTATGGGATAATTCCTGTGTTTTAGATGCCTTACTATTGGCCCCTCGCTGTGATGGGCAGCCTTCCTTAAGCGGTAAAGTATATGTGGGAGGAGGCAGCCGGCCACAAGTGTATCTGTAGAGCGAGTTATTTGCTCACTCTACAATGGTAGAAGAGCTATTTTAAAAGGAGCTTTGAACTTTTCAGAAAATTTAAATGTTTCAGTCATGGAGATGGTTCTCTCAACTTTGCAACAGCAGTAAAACATGTTGCTGTAACATAAATCTAAGGGCAGAAGGATGACCAAAGTTTACAGGGGACTGGATGTATGTTTTATTTGGAAAATTCTTAAAAGCACATATTAATTTAATATAATACATACATTTTATATATATATATATATAATGTAATATATATCCCAGTGAGGACACTCTCTGCAAGGAGTTTGCATGTTCTCCCTGTGCTTGGATGGGTTTGTTCAAGGTACTTCGGTTTCCTGCCACACTCCAAAGACATAATCAGATAGCCAGGTGGCGAGTCATTACACGCCACCCGGCTTCCTTAATGGGACTTCCAGTATCGATATTTGCGAGTACTGAAAAAATTAATATATCGGCACTCGATACCGAAATACCGGTATCGGTGCATCCCTAGTTCTAATCTTTCACATTCTATCCATTAGCAAAAAATTTTAAAAAAGTTTCACCTTTTTAGATATACTTGAACCTGATCAGATATCTTGCCCCGGGCTTCCTTTTGTTGCGCACATTTGAAACTTCATAGTGCAGTATGTGAATAACATAATAAATGTCATCTGGGCTTCTAGTTAATAGAAGAGGAGTTCAGCCATACTGTACTGCATAAGAACAAGCCTCAACCTGCGAAACAAGCACGAGTGCCAGTCACCCCGAAAGCATCTCCAGGTAATAATCAGAACTATATATAAATCTTACTTGTGCTGTGTTAGAGAGTAATGTATTGTGAACAGCAACCATTAAAATCAATGTAATGTGTATTTTCACTTTTGCAGCCAAATTGGATTAACCCCTATTTTATATTTGTTACATGTTTCTATATAAATGTCATTAAAGCTTAAAGTGTATTTCCAATTTTGCAGTAAAATTTAGGAAAACCCCTCCATATGTTCGTTATGTGTTCCTATTCACACAGCATACTGAAAAATAACTTTTACAAAAATGTCTTACCATGTAGATGTTTTGTTAAATCAGGCAAGATGGCTGATTCCAGGTTTTTCCTCAGCCCTTTCACAGTGGTCTGTCCCAATGGAAAGTCTTGGGACTGAAGTACGAGGATTGTGTTTATCTGATAAGCTTCATTAACATACAATGGACAAGCCACCTCTGAATGGACAAGACCCCTCAACCCTCGCAGCGCCTCCTAACATTTCAAAGAAATAGAAGCAAGAAGAAATGTTAACCCTTAAAACCCTAACCCAAGTAAAATTAATTTAAACTGCAAGAAGCATTTTTTTTAAAACTTATGCAATGTGAATGAGAAACGTGTAACAAATATAAAATAAAATAAAATTTCGCAGCCCAATTTGGCTGCGAAAGTGAAAATACACTTTAAAAAAATAAATAATTGCTGCTTACATTTTTAAGTGCCTTTTTATGGAGAGGTGAGCGAACGCTGGTATGTGTTCGCTCACCTCCCGATCTACTGAGCCGACCTGTGACAGTCTCATTGTCACAGGTCGGTTAGAACTATGAGGTGAGTGAAAAGCACTCACCTCATAGTTCTCCTTTAAAAATCCTCCCTAGCTTCCCTCCTATGTAATGTTAGAGGGGGCTGGCAGAAGTTATGGTTACTCTAATGAACCCTGTCTGTACTGTGGGGGCCGATTTCATTATCACTTGTAAACTAGATTTAAACACTGTCTGTCCTAACAAAGGATTAAAGTCTTGGAGGCATTGTGTGTTATTGAGAGGAATCTCGGTCTGACCCAAACCTTGGTCCCGCCTGGCTGCTAAACCCTGTGCTTCTTGCCTGATGAAGGGACCATGCTAGGCTCTGAAACGTTGCTTTGTACTTGTGATGCCATGCGTATCTGACGTCAATAAAAGGACGAAATGATGCATTGGACCTAGGTGTGCGAGTGACTACTTCTACATTTGGCGGCTAGACCGGTCCCCACAGCTTCTCTACCCCTCCACTTTGGTGGTGGAATGTGCCTCGGTATCCTCGTATCTAATGCACGGTATTAGACGTGATGACACATGGGTCATTAGACCGCCGGAGCGGACGGGAAAAGAGACTGTGGGGACCGGTCTAGCAACCAGGTGGGACTGACGTTTGGGTGAGTATATCTTTGTTATATTAGTCCCCTAGAAGATAATGAGCACTTAACCCTTGCAGTGCAACGCTAGCCTCACTCCAAGGGTTACGTTTTATTCTCCCCAGAGTTCTTAAAGGGTTCTGCCATGCAAAACACCAAAGCTTTATGGGATTGTTTTTATATGCTTATGTTGGTGTGGCTGCTTATTAACTAGAGACTGCTTACCAGACCTCAAACTATTTACCCATTGAAGACACCTATTAGTTATCATTTATACACTTACTTTTAGAGATTTATATAAGTCATATTTGTCCATCAGAATTTCTTACCATGTATTTATTATAAGCAAAGCAAAAACCTTCATCATCCTAGGCAGCGTGGGCAGATATTGTATACAGTAGTTTAATACTATGGACTGATGCAGGAAAAAGGAATATGAAAATATTTCACAGACGTTGTATTAATTTTTTCCTAAGTTCCAAGAAACGGGAAGAGCAGAGTTCAGGAACTTCAGCCTGGAAGACAGAAAGTGGTGACACCTCCGGGAAGAGCGGACTATCCACATAAACATGAATGGAAGCCACCTTCACGAGTACAACATTACAGCCCTGTTATGGTGATTGTTTGTCACTTATGTAGTATTCCTTTAACTGTGTTGCATGGAATGTTATTAACATACACACACAAGACATTGTGGAGTTGTTGCCAATAGCAACCTGATTATTCCTTATACTTTCAGAACCACCTTAAAAAAATACGTCCAGAATTTGAATGTGTGCCTTTGTGTTACCTTTTTAATGTATGCTTTCAGGAGCTCTGGATAACAGTGTTGTTTCTGTTCAGGTGCATGATCAGAACTGGAGACACAGAATGGAGGTTGTTGAGAAAGCTGCAGCTGGACAATATGGGCATGGGCAATATAACCATTATTACGCCAGGTTGAATGACATGCAGAGAAGGCCCTATGCGTACCAGCCTCACCATGGACCACCAATAAACCACCACATCGATTCTCCACAACATTTGTATGTACTGCTTCAATAGATACTATAGAAAGTGCTTCAATTTTAGATTAAATATATATTATTTATTACAGGTATTTATAGAGCGCCAACAATTTATGCAGCGCTTTACATTCACATGCACATTCACAGCAGTCCTTGCCCCTGAGGAGCTTACAATATAAGGTCCCCGTCTCGCATACAGTACATTCATACTAGGGTCAATCTAGACAGGAGCCAATTAACCTTCCAGCATGTCTTTGGAGTGTGGCAGGAAACCAGAGTGCCTGGAACAAACCCATCCAAGCACAGGGAGAACATGCAAACTCCTTAGTCCCCTGTAAACTTTGGTCATCCTTCTGCCCTTAGATTTATGTTACAGCAACATGTTTTACTGCTGTTGCAAAGTTGATAGAACCATCTCCATGACTAAAACATTTAAGTCTTCTGAAAAGTTCAAGGCTCCTTTTAAAATAGCTCTTCTACCATTGTAGAGTGAGCAAATAACTCGCTCTACAGATACACTTGTGGCCGGCTGCCTCCTCCCACATATACTTTACCGCTTAAGGAAGGCTGCCCATCACAGCGAGGGGCCAATATTAAGGCACAGGAGGTAGCAGGGGCAAATGGGTCACTATTTGCATAATGGAGGTTTTTGGGCTCCCGGGTCCTCAAGCAGTCAGTGGAGCTGTCTTGGAGCTTAATGATATGCAATGAAAATGACACTTTACTATGTATGTATATTGTACCTACAGGTACACCGTAATCTCCTTTTGTAGCAAAGGCTTTTAGTCTTGGATAGAGTATAGAACGGTTTTAACCCCTAGAAGGTTTTTTCATGTCTGTGTTCCATTTTTGCTTCAGGGAGAAAAGTAACAGGATATTCCTATAAAGTCGATAGAAATCCCCTTCTTAGTTGTCTCAATTGTAAGATTTCCCCTCACCTCCCGTTCCATTGACAACCATGGCATGTTGGTATTCTTATCACTTTCTGTCCCTATCCTATAATCCAGTGAACATGCTAACCCCTCCCTAAGCTAGAACTATCAAAAACTTAACAAAAGGTAAAAGTCTAGAAATCGATGTCACTGTAAATACATTGCTTGTATTGATTCTACAGTAATATGACAAGACTACGCCAGCAGTCCCTACTCATTTCTGATCCTTTCTCGTTTCTCTATTTCTAGGAATGATTTTTTACAGAGAAAACAGGAAGCAGAAAGGATTAAGATAAAGGTTGAGAAGCAGCTGGTGAGTTTATTTTATGCATTATGGAGGAAATAAAATCAAGAGATCATTTGTGATGTGACAGTTTTGTTGTCAGTTGAAGTACACCGGTCCCTACAGGTGAGAGTTAGGAATGAGCTGAGCAATGAGAACTAGGCACTGCTAGATGTCTGTCAGTATGATATAATTCATCCATCACTGCAGGGCACCCTAAAGCCTTGGAAATGCCTTAAAGAGACCCTGTCACCAGAACAATCATTTCAACAAATATCTTCCCATAAGATTAAATGTTCATTTCATATATTTTAATTACTTGCAGAAGCCTCTCACGTGTATACATCCAAAGCCCTGCCACTGCTGCTGGGCACTGCAGACTCAGAGCTGTCACTTAGGTGACACTGTATAGCAGGGGTAGGCAAACTCCAGACCTCTAGCTGCAGTACAACTACAAATCCCATTAGGCATTGTAAGACTCTGAAAGCCACAGGCTTGTCTCCCAAAGGCAGATGCAGATGATTCGGTACATTGTTGTGTAAACAGTTAGCATATTAGTCAGATGGTATGAAGGGCAATGCAAATAAAGCAGAGTACCAAAGACGAGTAAAGAAGAGTTCCTTCTTTGCTTGCCTGTACAAATACTAAACAAGGGTTTTTTTTTTAAATATTTAATCTTTATTATTTTTACAAAAAGCCATAAACAACATATTATTTTAACATACAGTGTGTTACATACTTATAATTATAATCAAATTTCGAGTACAGTTTAATGGTTTTTAAAAACAAAACAGAAAAAAAAAAAAAAATACAAAAATTTACACTACATACCATATAAGGGGATTCCGGCAACCTTTAATATTCCTTCAATACAATCCTATTCTAGAGCATTTTGAAATAGCACTGTATGTTATCCCAACCTCTAGTCCATCTATTCTATTACTATACAGCCCCTCTATCCTATTTCCTCCATATATCTCGGGGATTTTTTAAACTCAATCCATTGTTGCCAGGTACTTTCAAATTGTTTATACGTGTCCCTCCGTATTGATGTCATTTCCTCCATCAGTCGATAATATTCTATTCTCTTAAACCACTCTCTCGTAGATGGAATGATACTTTTGTTCCAATATAGTGGGATCATCACCTTAGCTGCGTTAAGTAGTGGACGCAATAATGATCTTTTATAGGTTGCAGTCGGCAAGTCCGTTAGATTGAAAAGACAGACCATCGGCTCCAAGGGCAATACAATTGTTGTAATCTCTTCAATCAATTCTATTACCCGGGACCAGAAAGGCTGGAGTTTGGGACAGGACCACCATATGTGGACATAAGTACCTTTATTACCACAGTTCCTCCAGCATAAGTCCGACCTGAGTGGATACATTGTATGTAATCTTTCCGGTGTGAAATACCATCGAGCCAGAAATCGATACAATGTATCCGTCACTAAGGTACTAATAGACGAAAGAGTATTAAGATATAAAATTCTTTGTTTTTGTAAATCCGTCCAAGTAATCTCAAGTTCCCGTTCCCACTGTGTTAAGTACCGCAGAGATAAATTCGATTGCTGGTCCAATAAGATCCCATATATCTGTGAAATTCCATGACGCGGTGGGTCAGTAAGATCAAATAATTTCTCTATTGGTGTAAGTTCAGATATTGTGCGTAAGGGTTTTGGTAGTGATAACATAAAATGTGATAATTGTCTATACCTCCATGTGTCAAAGGGGTAAGTCCCCCATTGTGCTCGAAGTTCTGCTAATGAGAGCATTCTATGTCCCTCATAAACGTGATTAAGTTTTAAAATTGCTTGATTCGTCCATGTAAGAAAACTCGTATTGTGCCTTCCTGGTGGAAAATATAAGTGATCTGTCACTGGCATTATAGGAGAGTTATATTGCCCTATGATCCGTGGGTATATCAAATTCCAAATTTTTAACATGTGCTTAGTGAGTGGCGAAACGTGCGGGTGTAATTTCCAATATTCTGGGGGGATCCAACATATATTTGATACTATTTGACCAGCAAGCCCATTCTCCAGTCCTACCCACTTTTTAGTGTCCCTATGATAGTGCAAATCCAGCATTCTATTGATCGCTACTGCATGATAATAATTCTCGAAGTCTGGTAATGCCAAACCCCCCTGATTTCTGGTCCTAGTGAGGACTCTATACGAGATCCTCGCCGAGCTGCGTTTCCATATATACCGGCCAACTACTTTTCTCAATGCTCGCAGATAAAATGTAGGTAACGCTATTGGGACTGTTTGGAGTATATATAATACCCTTGGTAGTATCATCATCTTAATGACATTTATACGGCCCGTTAAAGATATACATGGATGATGGTTGGACCATACATTAAGATCCTTACGGATTGCATTTAGCAAGGTCATGTAATTAACCGTAAATAAATCCAAGATTCTGGGTGTTAATAATATACCAAGATATTGCATTTTATGTTCCTGCCACCTAAAAGGCATTGCGTCTTTCAAAGCATTTACTGTATGCCTCGTAGAGGATATATCCAGAATCTCAGATTTAGATAGGTTTATTCTAAAATTCGATACCCTGCCAAATACTTCGAATTCTTGTAGCAATGAAGGTAATGATATCCGTGGTTGTGAGATAAAGAATAAAATATCATCTGCATATGCAGCCAGTTTATGTTCTGATTTACCCACTATAATACCCCCAATATTCCTATTGAGTCTAATCGAAGTGAGGAAAGGCTCCAATGATAAAACAAACAGCAGTGGAGATAAAGGGCAACCCTGTCGTGTACCATTTTGTAAAGTAAATTTTTCCGACAGGGCTCCATTTACCTTAATTTGTGCCGTAGGATCATTATATAGAGCCATTACCCCCATTAAGTATTTAGGTCCTATGCCCAGTGTTTGCAGAGTCGCCCGTAGATAGTCCCAATCGACCCTGTCAAACGCTTTTTCTGCGTCCGTAGACAGCAACAGGATGGAATTTGGGAGTAATGAGGCTTGATGTATTAAATTAATCGCCCTCTGGGTGCTATCCCTCGCCTCCCTACCCGGTATAAATCCCGTTTGGTCATTTATTATTACCTGTGGCAGTAGGCCACTGAGTCTAGTTGCCAATACTTTGGCATAGATTTTAATATCCGTATTAAGTAATGAGATTGGCCTATAGCTACTGCAGATGGTTGGGTCTTTGCCCGGTTTGGGAAACATGGCTATATATGCATGAAGTGTTGATGGATTTGGGAGGGAGCCATTCATAAATGAATTAAAGTACTCGCCTAAGTAGGGAAGAAGCACATGTTGGAATGTTTTGTAATATAAGGCCGTAAAACCGTCAGGTCCTGGGCTTTTCCCAGTGGCCAATCCTGTGATAGCCTGTTGTATTTCTTCCATACTTATGGGAGATTCCAATTCCTCCCTATGTAATTTAGACAGATAGGGAAGAGGTATTGCAGCTAGATAGTTTTGGATATGCTCTATATGTTGGTCCTTAATTTGGGTAGTGTCATCAGTTCTCACGTTATATAAACTAGAATAATAATCTTTAAAGACGTTAGATATCTCTGATGTCACGTTTACCATAACGTCTTGTTTGTTTTTTATTTTGTCCACAAAATTTGAGTTTTGCCTAGCTTTCAATAGTTTCGCCAAATGTTTCCCGGGTCTATCTCCCAATTCATAAGAGTATTGATTGAGATAATTCAGGGATCTCTGATATTTAAAAGACAATTCTTCTTTAAGATCTACCCTCGCTCTTACTAATTCTGCTAGTACCTGAGATGTCTGTGCTCTTTTATGGTTCCCTTCTAGTGTGGCCACCCTTGTTAGGAGCTCTGTTATTCTGCCCATTTTTCCCTTCTTTATACGTGCCCCATGAGAAATAAGAGCTCCTCTAATTGTGGCCTTATGTGCCTCCCAAACCATACCCGGTGAAGTACCTTTCTTTGTATTTTCATTAAAGTAATTAATTAGATCTCTCGTTATATCTCCCACTACCTTCTTATCCCGCATCAGGGCCTCATTTAGTCTCCACATACCCGCTGGACGTTTCATCCCCGAAAATCTTATGGTCATCATCACCGGTGCATGGTCTGATAGGGTAATAGGGAGTATTTTTATGTCCTTTATAATCCCAAGATGATAATGGTCTACAAACATATAATCCAGCCGTGTGTATGAGTCATGTAATGGTGAGTATATCGTGTAGTCCCTTTCCTGTGGGTGAAAAACCCTCCATACATCTACCAATTGCATCATATGGAGTTGTGTTTTCAGGGATTTGAGCCTTTTAACGGCTATATGGGATAGCCCTGTTGATGTATCAAGAGTGGGGTCCATATGTACGTTAAGGTCTCTTCATATATTTATTCAATTTGTCTTATGGCACAATCCTCTATATGGTTTTATATGAAGGAGTCTTCACTCCATTCTTTATGCTTATCATCATTGTGACTTTTTACGTCAAACTGTTTTTTACTATAATATGTAAATATGATATGCATTTGTCTATATGTAGTATGTGGTTTTATATGTGATCCCAGTCTCCTGTTCCCCCTTTTCTATACGATTTTATATAGGGCAGACTGCTGCTATATGCCAGTATTCATTGTAGATCCGATCTATGTCATTATAGCTATCGGTTTTTAACAGCTCTGATTGGCCACGAGTTTGGTGTCAGACACAAGGTTGTTATTGCCTGCCGTCTTTGATACCATCCATCCCCAGCCGCCGTCCAATCAGCCTCTATTACTTGACCCTATCACGTTCGAGCCGCCCATTCTTAAGCTACAGCAGGGAGGAGACTGGCATTACGTCCTGATGAAGGGGGCGTGCCCCGAAAACGTGTCGACACAGCAGTGCTTTACACAGGACACGCTATCCGGATCTTTTTATTGCTCTGGTCATATTGTCCAACGGCTTGTTTTTATCTTCAACATAGTGAGTACCTGTCAATTCACCTTTATGCCTGTCTTTTTGGATTAAATGATATTGCACCAGGAAAGGCGCCTCTTCTTTTGTGTTTTTTAGATGTTCCAGTACCCTTGACTGTTTTTGAGGCTGCACCTTGCATATGTGCTTACGATTTCTTCCCCAGGAGGGATAAGGATTGTCCTTGGCGCTTTTAAAACCATAAACTTTTCTATTTTTGGTAGTGATACCTCGGTTCACAAACTTAATTCGTTCCACGATTCTGGCCGCGAACCGAGTTGGTCGTGAACCGAATCAAATTTCCCCATAAAGTTCAATGTAAATAAGGTTAATCTGTTCTGAACATTCTTGTCACCTTCATTACCGCTCTGCACTTTCTTTTTACCACCATGCTTGCTCTGCACTTTCTCTGGAGCCATGCTGGATTGAATAATACTGTACAGTACTGTATGTGCTAAAAAGCACTCAAAAAAGCTTCACAGCAAGTGTGCACAGGTCTGTCTGCGAACACAATCTCGACTAGAGGGAAGTCACGACCACGTGTCAGAGTGGGGAAGATGGCTGCGGTCGTATTAGTTACCCAATTTGGAGTTCGCGAACAAGCAAAATTTTGCTGAACTTCCTGTTCGCGAAATGAATTGTTCGCAAACAGAAGCGTTCGTGAACCGAGGTGTTACTGCATTGGCTATTTCAAATTGCAATAGCCAATAGCAGGCTGGCTATTGTGCACGCCCACTGAGCAGAAGAGTGGACCTGAGAGACAACTTTCTGTGGGCGGGGCTTTAGTAGCCAGCCTGCTATTAGCTATTGCAGTTTGCAATAGCCAATAGCAGGCTTGCTATTGAAACCCATTCACCTGTCGGCTGAGGAAGCTAGCTGGCAGGTGAATGGGGCTGTTAGGGGGAAGCGGGCACTGCGGGGGGTGTTTCTTGAGAGTTGCTCTTAACTGTCAAGCACCCAGAAGCTACAGTTATCCGGCACCTACCTATCCCCGTGGGTGCCTTATAACTGCGAGTTTACTGTCAAATGACCATTCTTTTTTAACCAGCTGGAGTTTCCAAAGCTTTCTATTCATGCATGGATCTCCTCTCACACCTCTACAATCATCACATGCTTTAAGGGACCCATTCTGAGGACCCCTCCATGAATCAAGCTACCGTAGACCTACCCACCACCAATAATACAAGCGTTACCTCACATACACACTATAAAGTGTTGCTTTCAGGACGGTATTATAAATTGTATCTATATGCAAAATGTATGTGCAGTGGATTTTCATGACTATCCGAAATACATTTGGAGGTACAACGATACACAAACGATACACGTTATCGTTTGTGCTTTAAACTAGATGGCCACTAAATGGAAATAGATACTTATTTTCTGTGCTTCTCAGCTCCATCTAGTGGCCATAATGCGGTATTTTATGAAAATTACATTTAACCTGAAAAGAAATTAAACTAACATTTGTTTTTGCCTTCATGTGTACAAAACTAATGTTCTTAGAGATTCACAGGGTGAATGATTCTGTGAATTGTTTATGGATCCCTGGAATTGTTTCCCTGAATAACTTTTGAAGAGATATATTAGTCTTTGACTTTTTTATTTCCCTCGCTACCTTTTCCCTGTTAAAGTGCAGCTGAAGCAAAAACTTTGTTTTTAGTTTTGGATAGAATGGAGAGGGATTAAAACACCTGTCAGGTCTTTATTGCTGTCTGTGTTCCTGTTGGGGAGATTCACCCTCTCTATTTGTCCTGGTAAATGTTATCACTGAATTTGAAAGAAAATCCTAAATTTATGTTTGTCATCAGAACAGGAATAGATGGGAAATCTTCCAATGGGGACACTAGCCACCAGGCATTTCCCTCTCTTTGCAGGGATTTCCTCTCACCTCCTGTTGTGACTATCGGACAGCAAGTGAAGGGAATTCTCCCCAATTAGAAACAGATGACAGAAATAAGCTGACATTGGGGTTATAACCCGACCTTACTCTATCTGAACCTTCAGTTCTACTTTAAATTAGGATGAGCTGTTCTTAAAGTAGAAAAGTGCTAAAAATATATTCTGTAACAGTGGCATATCATACTCGATCTTCCTGGGCAGGATAGGGTTTAGGGACTTAGGCCAGAACCCCAAATGCCAGACTGCTGGTCATTGGGAAGAGTCATAGACTTTCACCCACAAAGCATCAACACACAGCTGAAAAATGCTGACGGGGACTTTGGAAAACAAATGAGCCCCTGAGTAAAGTTGACTCCATTACGTCTAAATAATATAAACAGTTGGATAAGCTATATTGCTGTATAGCAATCGGTGTATAGGTCTTTAGAAGAGCTGATTCATCATTTTAAATAGGACATTGCAATTCAGCTGGATTCTTTATTTCCACTTGTTTGTAACAGCCCCATTGAGTTACACTGAGTGCCACCCTCTTGCAGCTCCTGAGTTTTATCCAGAAGTTGCAATGATATAGTTCTTAGATCATCCTCTGGTGAAACGGCTTAAAGTTGACCTTTACCCCATTTCTCTAAAAATCCCCTCCGAATGCAGCTATTCATGCTGATATAAATTCCTGTTACATTCATTAGTTCAACAAACAGTTTTTTTGCTTTTACTTCCATTTATTCTTTTTCCACTTTCTGGTTGAGTGAGGCACTGGTGATGTAGCCCTGGCCTCACAGATGCATCCTGGGAAGGCTACATCATCAGCGCCTTCCTGGGAAATCTCATCTGTAAAATGCAAAATCTCGCAAGATCTCATGGGAAAGGCATTTGTTTCCCCCAAAATGATGTGCATGGTCACATGTTCAAGTCGCTGTGTCAGAGCTTCAGGAAGTAAAGGGAGATGGATTCATCTGACCTTAGTAAAAATGGGGAGGAAAAGAACAATAAGAATACAAATCTGGCAATTATCTAGAAGTATCTGTTTGTAGATTGTCATTATTACTAAACATTTCTAAGATGCCTTTGTTGTCATTTTTATGATAAGGTTAAAGTTCCTCTTTAATAATACCTAACATTATAACTAGTAATAGAACAATATTTTAATCCAGAGATTTGTTCTTAGTAGTCTTGGTGAGTCAGGAAGGATTTCTTCCCTCTGGAATGGCAAATTTGTCAATGCCATTACATCTGCAAGACAGAATAACATTGTCCATGGTTTACCTTTCACTCCTATAGGGGCTGCGCCCATCATCTGCCGACCAGTTCAGAAAGCATACACCAGTATCAAGGCATGATATACGTCCTGAGCCAACTCCACAAAAGCAACAAAGGGATAATGAGGTACTTCCAGTATAAAAGGGCTACTTGAGTCACTTCAGCAGTTTTACTTTTATATGAGGTTTCTGGTATGTTGTACATGACTAACAAGTTGTATGTTATTGGGGTTACATGTTACAGAAGACTATTAGTTATTTTCATAAGTCACAGCATGCAGTATTAATAGTAAACATACTATTGCTATCCGTATTCATATTATTGATCTTTTGAACCCTCATGTTTCGGAATGAGCCAAGGGTAAATCCTACCATGCCAGGTGTCACACATTGTAACTATTCCTGCATGGAACCCGGGATTATCCCAAGAAAGAAGAGGAACAACAAAGCATGGAGCTACAAATATTATATACAACAATAGTGTAAACTCTTGAGGCATTTGAACAATGCTCATAGAAGTATATGATATCCTCCATGGATTATTAATATAATAGTGCTAATAGTGTTTTTATAGTGCTATCATATACTATAGCGCCGTAAGGTACAGTGTACAGGAGACATACATAACGGAGCATACCATGAACAAAACATACGAGGAGGACCCTGCACTTTAGAGCTTAAAATGTGATAATACACACAAAGTTTAAAAGGGTTCCTGTCAAATAACGTTATAGGGTAACATGATGGCACAGTGCTGAAGTCCTGGATTTTGTCCCACCAGAGAAACTGTCTGCATTGGGTTTGTATGTTTTCCCTGTTTTTGTAAGCATTGTATACACATGTTCTGTATTCCTCAAGAAATCCAAAAACAGGCTGGAAGATTCTTCTGTATGTGTCTACATTTTTGTCGACACAGCAGTGCTTTATACAGGACACGCTATCCGGATCTTTTTATTGCTCTGGTCATATTGTCCAACGGCTTGTTTTTATCTTCAACATAGTGAGTACCTGTCAATTCACCTTTATGCCTGTCTTTTTGGATTAAATGATATTGCACCAGGAAAGGCGCCTCTTCTTTTGTGTTTTTTAGATGTTCCAGTACCCTTGACTGTTTTTGAGGCTGCACCTTGCATATGTGCTTACGATTTCTTCCCCAGGAGGGATAAGGATTGTCCTTGGCGCTTTTAAAACCATAAACTTTTCTATTTTTGGTAGTGATACCTCGGTTCACAAACTTAATTCGTTCCACGATTCTGGCCGCGAACCGAGTTGGTCGTGAACCGAATCAAATTTCCCCATAAAGTTCAATGTAAATAAGGTTAATCTGTTCTGAACATTCTTGTCACCTTCATTACCGCTCTGCACTTTCTTTTTACCACCATGCTTGCTCTGCACTTTCTCTGGAGCCATGCTGGATTGAATAATACTGTACAGTACTGTATGTGCTAAAAAGCACTCAAAAAAGCTTCACAGCAAGTGTGCACAGGTCTGTCTGCGAACACAATCTCGACTAGAGGGAAGTCACGACCACGTGTCAGAGTGGGGAAGATGGCTGCGGTCGTATTAGTTACCCAATTTGGAGTTCGCGAACAAGCAAAATTTTGCTGAACTTCCTGTTCGCGAAATGAATTGTTCGCAAACAGAAGCGTTCGTGAACCGAGGTGTTACTGCATTGGCTATTTCAAATTGCAATAGCCAATAGCAGGCTGGCTATTGTGCACGCCCACTGAGCAGAAGAGTGGACCTGAGAGACAACTTTCTGTGGGCGGGGCTTTAGTAGCCAGCCTGCTATTAGCTATTGCAGTTTGCAATAGCCAATAGCAGGCTTGCTATTGAAACCCATTCACCTGTCGGCTGAGGAAGCTAGCTGGCAGGTGAATGGGGCTGTTAGGGGGAAGCGGGCACTGCGGGGGGTGTTTCTTGAGAGTTGCTCTTAACTGTCAAGCACCCAGAAGCTACAGTTATCCGGCACCTACCTATCCCCGTGGGTGCCTTATAACTGCGAGTTTACTGTCAAATGACCATTCTTTTTTAACCAGCTGGAGTTTCCAAAGCTTTCTATTCATGCATGGATCTCCTCTCACACCTCTACAATCATCACATGCTTTAAGGGACCCATTCTGAGGACCCCTCCATGAATCAAGCTACCGTAGACCTACCCACCACCAATAATACAAGCGTTACCTCACATACACACTATAAAGTGTTGCTTTCAGGACGGTATTATAAATTGTATCTATATGCAAAATGTATGTGCAGTGGATTTTCATGACTATCCGAAATACATTTGGAGGTACAACGATACACAAACGATACACGTTATCGTTTGTGCTTTAAACTAGATGGCCACTAAATGGAAATAGATACTTATTTTCTGTGCTTCTCAGCTCCATCTAGTGGCCATAATGCGGTATTTTATGAAAATTACATTTAACCTGAAAAGAAATTAAACTAACATTTGTTTTTGCCTTCATGTGTACAAAACTAATGTTCTTAGAGATTCACAGGGTGAATGATTCTGTGAATTGTTTATGGATCCCTGGAATTGTTTCCCTGAATAACTTTTGAAGAGATATATTAGTCTTTGACTTTTTTATTTCCCTCGCTACCTTTTCCCTGTTAAAGTGCAGCTGAAGCAAAAACTTTGTTTTTAGTTTTGGATAGAATGGAGAGGGATTAAAACACCTGTCAGGTCTTTATTGCTGTCTGTGTTCCTGTTGGGGAGATTCACCCTCTCTATTTGTCCTGGTAAATGTTATCACTGAATTTGAAAGAAAATCCTAAATTTATGTTTGTCATCAGAACAGGAATAGATGGGAAATCTTCCAATGGGGACACTAGCCACCAGGCATTTCCCTCTCTTTGCAGGGATTTCCTCTCACCTCCTGTTGTGACTATCGGACAGCAAGTGAAGGGAATTCTCCCCAATTAGAAACAGATGACAGAAATAAGCTGACATTGGGGTTATAACCCGACCTTACTCTATCTGAACCTTCAGTTCTACTTTAAATTAGGATGAGCTGTTCTTAAAGTAGAAAAGTGCTAAAAATATATTCTGTAACAGTGGCATATCATACTCGATCTTCCTGGGCAGGATAGGGTTTAGGGACTTAGGCCAGAACCCCAAATGCCAGACTGCTGGTCATTGGGAAGAGTCATAGACTTTCACCCACAAAGCATCAACACACAGCTGAAAAATGCTGACGGGGACTTTGGAAAACAAATGAGCCCCTGAGTAAAGTTGACTCCATTACGTCTAAATAATATAAACAGTTGGATAAGCTATATTGCTGTATAGCAATCGGTGTATAGGTCTTTAGAAGAGCTGATTCATCATTTTAAATAGGACATTGCAATTCAGCTGGATTCTTTATTTCCACTTGTTTGTAACAGCCCCATTGAGTTACACTGAGTGCCACCCTCTTGCAGCTCCTGAGTTTTATCCAGAAGTTGCAATGATATAGTTCTTAGATCATCCTCTGGTGAAACGGCTTAAAGTTGACCTTTACCCCATTTCTCTAAAAATCCCCTCCGAATGCAGCTATTCATGCTGATATAAATTCCTGTTACATTCATTAGTTCAACAAACAGTTTTTTTGCTTTTACTTCCATTTATTCTTTTTCCACTTTCTGGTTGAGTGAGGCACTGGTGATGTAGCCCTGGCCTCACAGATGCATCCTGGGAAGGCTACATCATCAGCGCCTTCCTGGGAAATCTCATCTGTAAAATGCAAAATCTCGCAAGATCTCATGGGAAAGGCATTTGTTTCCCCCAAAATGATGTGCATGGTCACATGTTCAAGTCGCTGTGTCAGAGCTTCAGGAAGTAAAGGGAGATGGATTCATCTGACCTTAGTAAAAATGGGGAGGAAAAGAACAATAAGAATACAAATCTGGCAATTATCTAGAAGTATCTGTTTGTAGATTGTCATTATTACTAAACATTTCTAAGATGCCTTTGTTGTCATTTTTATGATAAGGTTAAAGTTCCTCTTTAATAATACCTAACATTATAACTAGTAATAGAACAATATTTTAATCCAGAGATTTGTTCTTAGTAGTCTTGGTGAGTCAGGAAGGATTTCTTCCCTCTGGAATGGCAAATTTGTCAATGCCATTACATCTGCAAGACAGAATAACATTGTCCATGGTTTACCTTTCACTCCTATAGGGGCTGCGCCCATCATCTGCCGACCAGTTCAGAAAGCATACACCAGTATCAAGGCATGATATACGTCCTGAGCCAACTCCACAAAAGCAACAAAGGGATAATGAGGTACTTCCAGTATAAAAGGGCTACTTGAGTCACTTCAGCAGTTTTACTTTTATATGAGGTTTCTGGTATGTTGTACATGACTAACAAGTTGTATGTTATTGGGGTTACATGTTACAGAAGACTATTAGTTATTTTCATAAGTCACAGCATGCAGTATTAATAGTAAACATACTATTGCTATCCGTATTCATATTATTGATCTTTTGAACCCTCATGTTTCGGAATGAGCCAAGGGTAAATCCTACCATGCCAGGTGTCACACATTGTAACTATTCCTGCATGGAACCCGGGATTATCCCAAGAAAGAAGAGGAACAACAAAGCATGGAGCTACAAATATTATATACAACAATAGTGTAAACTCTTGAGGCATTTGAACAATGCTCATAGAAGTATATGATATCCTCCATGGATTATTAATATAATAGTGCTAATAGTGTTTTTATAGTGCTATCATATACTATAGCGCCGTAAGGTACAGTGTACAGGAGACATACATAACGGAGCATACCATGAACAAAACATACGAGGAGGACCCTGCACTTTAGAGCTTAAAATGTGATAATACACACAAAGTTTAAAAGGGTTCCTGTCAAATAACGTTATAGGGTAACATGATGGCACAGTGCTGAAGTCCTGGATTTTGTCCCACCAGAGAAACTGTCTGCATTGGGTTTGTATGTTTTCCCTGTTTTTGTAAGCATTGTATACACATGTTCTGTATTCCTCAAGAAATCCAAAAACAGGCTGGAAGATTCTTCTGTATGTGTCTACATTTTTATGCTTAAGGTTAAAGAAGGTCTAGGTCTCTGCCCAGCATGTTGCTCATGTCCTGTGAATATGAGCATACCAGTTAGTCTTGGTGCTGGTGGGAACTTTCCTTCCACATCTGTGACCTGAAGATAATAGCAGGACTTTTGTGATGATCTTCTGATGATGATGTTCAGGTGGTACAGTTTCCTTAAGATAGTACTGAATCATTGTAAAAAAACAAAGTCACCAAATTCACAGAAATCCACCATAATGATTATAGATTACCACATTGGGGTTTTTCCATTTAGGTACATACATGTTATGGCAACACCCCCTGGTAGCCACACAGACTCACTTTTAGGTTCAGAGTCTAAGCACCAGATGGTTTTCCCTAGAGCTCCTGAAGGTGGAGATGGATTTCGCTGCGTGCTGGTACCAGGTTGAGGTCTTCAGGGTCACCCTACCAGGGAATGAGTGGGGGACTAGAGGCTACGATGTGGATGCAGTACACTAGGGAGAGTCTAGAAAAAAGTCAGGTCCAGGTAGAGGTCAGCAATTGGCAAGTCAGCAGAATGGTCAGGTCAGCTAGATAGTCGGGTCCAGGCAGAGGTCAGCAATGGGCAAGGCAGCAGAATGGTCAGCTCAGCCAGATAGTCGAGTCCAGACAGAAGTCAGCAATGGGCAAAGCAGCAGAATGGTCAGGTCAGCCAGATAGTCAGGTCCAGGCAGAGGTCAGCAATGGGCAAGGCAGCATAGTTAGGTTCAGGCAGATGGTCATAGGCAGGTGGCAAGCAAAAGAGTAGTCGAGCCGATCTGGGTCAGTAACAAAATGGACAATTCAAATACTATAATTTTCTTGCAAAAGCCGGGTAGCTGGAAAGTCAACCCAGCACCAGCCACTTCCAGGGCCCGTGGTTAAATACAGCTTGGATCAGGGGACACCGCCAGCATCATTTCAGGGAGATGTGGAATTTGTGGTGGGGATTCTGTGCGCACCATTAGAGGTACTGGCAGAAGTCCCACAAGTGCCATTAGAGGTACTGGCAGGAATTCTGAGAACGCCATAAGCAATACCGGTAGACCTGGAGGTACTATAACAATAAGCAGCATTATGTTTGTTGCTGGTGATCTTTGGAGTGTACAGGAAAGGTGGTGCCACAAGCAGGCTTTTTGGGGTTGTTGCAGGCAGATGTGAAACATTACTCTTTGTTTTGGAATGAACTGCTTGACAAAACAGAAATGAGATCCTGGTAAACAGCTATTTAGTTTTGTATTATGTCCGGAGTTCACATCTCGAAGAATACAGTTTCTATGTGTAAATATTCAGTGTGCTCCAGCAGTATACTGCATTTGGCTCATAAGAACTCATGTTTGTATGACAGGAACATCTGAAACAGCTGGAGCTCATTCGGCAGCAATACCGCAATGAAGTTCGGGAGATAAAAGTTCGAGCCGGAGCACCCCAGGTAAAGTGATTGGTCATGGCCTTGTTTAACCACTTAATGATGGAAGGTAAAATGAATATTAATGCCTGAACCTAGTTTTGCAACTCTGGCCTTGTGTTAGTAAAGCTTTACATATCTTTGCAACTACTTTATATTCAATTTGCAGAGCCATTCCCCTGTGAATCTCTATGAATGTTCATCCTGTGCGAATGGATGCACAAAACCAAGTTCTTAGTATACTTTCTTTACAAACCCAATGTAATTTCAAATGTTATCATGTAATGCTGCATTATGGCCTGTAGATGGACCTGAGGAGCATAGGCAATAACTCATTTTTTGCTATGCTGTCAGCGCTATCTAGTTGCCGTAATCTGCTATTTTACATATAGCACATCAGAATTAGAAAGAAAATGTACTCAGAATGTTCATTTTGGACTCGCACAGAACCAATAGTTACCAAGCTTTGCATGGCGAATGACCCGGCAAATTGTTTATAAGGACACCTTTTAGTGTATGCTGGCGAATTATATCTTGCTTTATCAGGCCTTCATTTTTCATCACAGGAAAGCCAGTCTAAAATAGTGAAACAAAAACATTTTTTAAATGTTAGAGTTATTACATCGCTTCTCGGCCTTTTGGCTAAGATCAAGTGTAGTAAATGTTAGAGTTATATTTTGTGCTATTGACCTTCCACAAAAAAAACCCAAAAAACAAATACATTCGCCTGCACCGGACATTCACAGAACTAAACACACTGATACCAACATTAGTACTGACACTGAATATAACACCTTTTTTTTTTTATCCTACATAAAACACACTGACCCTAACACTAACCTAGATGGAGCCCTGATCTGACTATTTCATCTTCATTTTTTATTTTATTTACACAGACTTTTTATTTTCCTAGCTAGTGATCACTGTGATAGTGAATCACAGACTAGCTCAGTGATTGTGAGGTGGTCCTTCCAACTCTGGATCGTTAGTATGAGGCCCAGAGTTGTCTGAGACAGCTTGGTCTCCATGCTGGGGGTATGCAGACAAACCCAGGTATGCCTATATGTGGCCTCATGGAAGAAGGCCCACCTCCGTGAGGGTGCATATATGCGTATGCTCATCAGCAATGGATTGACATTTCTTTAGCTCTTGCCTGCAGCAGAGGAGAACTCTATGGCACATGGTCAAACTTTCAACATGGAAACATTTAATTAAAATATCTTTTTCCCTGACCATTAAAGACCAATAATCAAACAAGTACAGCCATTTGACTAGAAATAAAAATAGCGATTGTGACCCACAACTCTCTCTACAGGGATTATGCAGATAACTTAGACTTTTACCTCCTGTGTGTAGTCCCTCATCGTTTTATGCAGATCATACCTGAAATAAAATAACTCTGCTCCTATGATATTCTGGGAACTTTACCCGCTCTCTGTGATCGGTGACTTAATAAAGTTATAACGTTAGGGGATTAGGTGCAGACTCACATGTAGATAAAAGTCTATTCATATTAATTATCAATACATAACATAAATGTCATATTATTATAAATCCTTTGCACAAGAAATGTACTTTTAGATGCATGAAGCTGCATATTTGATTTCACATCTATTGATATTAGTAGACGGATATTTTTGGAAATATTAGTGACCATTAGCAACTAATTAGATGTTTATTTTCATGTCTTTAGCCCAGGCATTTCTCCCATTTTATACATTTTCCTATATAGTCTGGTCATTCCCAGATATGGACTTGATGTTAAAAATGCCTCTGGTATACTCCCAGTCGTGATTTTTTTTTTATTTTGTTTTTGCCATTTTCCATCCAGGTCTTTACAGTGAATGTTGTGATTTTGGTGAAATGATGGCTAGTAATCCAAAGTTGAATTTGGGCCTTGTACATTGAAGGATTCCTGTACTTGCTTTTCTCTATCTGTACTTTCAGAACTGTCATCACATACATCTGTAAACACCTCCCGCTGTACTGCTAATCAGTGTAGACTGCAGACAGGCTTAATGTAAACAAAGTGATTGATGTGTGATTTTAAACAATGAACATAAATAATGAAACGCAAAAGGAAAAGCTTATCATATGCTTCTCCACAGGAGGCTCCTAAGGCATCTGATGGAACATATCTTGTAAAAGCGGGTAACCCTGGAGGGCCTTCCACTGCAGACCAGCCAGACGGTAAAGAACCCACTGAGGTAAGTACATGGCTGCACTTCCACCTTCAACTGATGAAGATAGTTACAGCACTACAAATAACATATTGAACTAATATACTTAAAGTAGCATTAAACTCTCAGGCTTTTTGTTCAATAATGAATCCAGATGCAACAAATACACATTGTCCAGCAAAGCATTGCTTTACATTAATGCCCAAATACTTACAATCATCATGTGTCTTAACAGCTGCTTCCAACTCTCTCAGCTCAGCTTCCCTGAACTTCCTGTCCAGTACAAGCTCACAAGCAGACTCCAGCAACTGTTCATCTACTAGCTTGGAGGCTATAGGGCCAGAGGGGAGGGAAGTAGCTTTCTTTGCTGTGTGTGGAGACACACACAGCTTACTAGCCCACACAGGGGTGACTGCATAGCACTCTGCTTGAGAAAGGAGTCACTCTAAAACAGGAAGTCAGGACCAGTGCTCAGGGGACCAGCTGATTATACAGGAAACTAAAACTTTTAAACATTAAGGAGCAGGGTCCATTGTAAGTGTTTCCATCAGCATTTGAAATAGCTTAAAATCCTTTTGACTTTAATATGACTTTAGGTCAGAGGTTTCCAGGGCTAAGTGTGTGATAACTTCAGAAATTGCAAGCACTTATTATTCGATATGTGTGTTTTGTTCCGAATCGAAATTCGGATGAAATTCCGAGATTCCAATTGCGAAATTCGTTAGCGGTTGTCTGTATGAATTGTCGTTTTGTTTGTTGCATATGAAAAGTATTATGACACCTCTGCTCACAAACCCGAATGGCCATCGGGAGAACACAGGGGGATGTCAATAGCAGGAGATGTCATTTTGCGGCGAGTTTTCGTTCGAGGGTTCGGGCGGTCGTCGTGTGGCGGGACTTTTTTATTTTGGCGGGTCGGCGGGTGTCGTGCATCGTGATTGATACTGGATTACATCAATGGAGCCATTTTTTTATTTTTTTTAAATTAAAGGAATAGTCAAAAATTGACTTTTGACTAAAGGATTTTTCTAAAAGTGTGGTTTGTTTATTTACTTTAACCCTTTAGTGAATGGGTAGGGGTACAAGTACCCCTTAGTCATTCACAAGGGGGGGGGGGGCGGCATCTGGGTGCCTCTTAATTAAACGAATCCCCCGAAGGCAAGCCTCATTCCCCGCAGACCCCCACAACCACCGTGTCAGGGTTGTGAGGAAGAGGCCCTTGTCCACATCGGTGGGGACACCTTCCTAATGCCGAGGGCACGTGGCCTGGTAAGGTGCAGGGATGGGGGGGGCATTCGATCACCCCCCCCCCCTTTCCTGCCCTGCCGGGCCTGTGCTCAGATCACGGGTCTGGTAGGAATGTTAGGGGGGGACCCCACAATTTTCCCCCCATTTTTGGGGGCTGGGGTTCCCCCTTAAAACTATCAGACCTAAAGGGCCTGGTTTAAAAAAACGAACGAAACGATAATTCGTACAGACTACTGCTAACGAATTTCGTCCGAATCCCAAAACGCATTGCCTTTCGGACCCAAATTTCGAAAAAACTAAATGATGCAAAATTCAAATCAAAACTAAGCAAATCATTTTTTGCCGGTGCACATGTCTACTTATTATTGCATGCATACATTTCCATTTACCACCAAGGGGTTGATTTACTAACCTTATACACACACCACGAACATGTATACACCTCTGTAGTGTGTTCCCTCCCAGCATGATCTATGGGTGGAATCTAAACACCTTTTGTAGTGTGTACACACCCAGCAGGTGTGTTGTGCAAAGCCCTGCATGAATTGCAAGGTGATGTGTAAATTAGCTCTATGTTGTGTTGCTTGCGTTGATGAATGCAGGAATGTAAATGCATGAGCTAACCATTTTTGTCTAAACTGTGAAGCAGCATTATATATGGATCATGTGCATGATTTTTCCATATATGGCATTAGTGGAAATATGCTTTTAGAGACTTTTTGGTTGATAAATACATTTTGCTGTGTGAAAATCACACGCACCTGGTGTGTGCGTGTGTTTAGGTTAGTAAATCACCCTCAAATGTTAAAAAGTCTCTGGAGAAATGTATTGATGTAATTGTGTATCAAATGACGTGCGTGATGTGGTCAAGCCAACTCTCTTCTTAACGTTAATCTTATTTGTGTTACTTCTATCTGTTGAGCAGGTCAGAAACAGCGGCAGGTTCCAGCACTACAGAGGAACGGCATATATCTTTCTGCCTCTAGTTCTGGGGAGACAAATGTCCATCTATATGCGAAAAAGAAGCGCCAGACCCACGCTATTGATTCCAAGCATGTAATTTATTGATTGCACAAACAACATAAGGATAAACAAAACAAAAACAAAAATCCAATGCCTTTTTGGGGTCTTTAAGCAATCCCCCTTCATCAGGGCTTAGGCAATTTGTTGCAAACTCTAATGGACTCTAGACTAGGAGCCAGGGTTTATGTCTCCAAGCAGGAGCAGTTCATTCACTGAGGGTCACAAATGTGCAGCCAGCTTATGGTTCGTTCCTGTGCCATTTGTGGAATCAATAAATGACATGTCTGGGCTTCCAGAAGCTCCTAAATAGGGTGACCCCTGGTTTTGGGGAGAACACAGTTTTGTTTGGTAGCTGCCAAACTCAGGCCATTGTGCCAAATCATCAGTACTCTACCAATCGGCTAGCGATCTGGGTCCAGCAAGTCACTTTCATCTCGATATGTCCATCTATAGCCAGCTTAATATCTAATGTCTCTCTTCATAATACTGTTTGTGACTGAGCCATCCTACATGTTGTAGGTACATGAGGCAGCCAATCACAGTATTATTAGAAGGGAGGAAATCGATCTTCTGCACAATGGGTTTAAGACGCATCCCCGATAGAAAATAGAGCCGCAGCGGGTTGGACAAGCCCTTTCAGTTATATTAACATAGTTAGGGTTAGTGTCAGGGTTCAGCTATGGACTAGGATAAATGTAGTGCATGTGGGGAAACACATGACTACCTCACCAAAACGTTGCACCAGGCTCTTGGTGCCAATAACTGAGAGCCTGCAATCACTGAGGACATTACTTTTTAGTAACGCAAAAAAAAAGCTGAAATATACTTGCAGAAATCGGCTAAAGTCTGACATGTCATTGGTTACTAATCTTCATTACTCTTTGTCTGTGACAAAGATAAAACATACAACCTGAGCTCAGGCTTTGTATTTATATCTTTCCGCCATGCACTATTTATAACCAAACTTCAGCAATGTTTGTTACGGTGACAATTTTGGTAAATAAATTTGGTAAAGTGTAACATATTGTTTTGAAATTGAGATTGCAGCCATTGTATTTCCCGCACCCAGAAATCTGCCTCCATTATGGTTTTTATGTCAATATTGCCACACATCTATATTTTCTTTTCTAATGATAAATATATATTATCTTCATATAGGAGATTCAAGAACAGTATAATAAAATCATCATGCAAAACCGAGAAGAGAGAAAAGCACTGCAAAAGAAATATAAAGTGAAGGTAAAATGTGTGCAGAGATATGCAAAATACTTCTTTATACAGCTAATGCAATCAGTCGTATTATTATCCCGCATGAGATATACATTTTTCATTCTTTTGGTATTCATAGTGTTATTAAACCCTACTTCAAAAAAAGCATCTAATGCTGCAGACCTCAGAACTTACCATGTATGCAGGCCTGATTTTTAGAATCTATGGTTGCTTTCAGTTCCCCCCTGGAAACTTTCTCTTCCCTGTTTTCTGTCGTTGGGTGGGTCCGTTTTCTTATCAGAATCCCATAAAACCACCTTTGCCTGCAAGTTCCCAGCTGGCAATATGGACGAGACTCCATGGGTCCACAGAAACAGCTGTGGCAGCCAGCCATTTGCCTGCCACTCCCGCGCTGTCCAGTTAACTGCACAGTGAAGTATTCTAGGCACATGTTCCCTTACCCAGAAATCCAGTGAAGCATCACTCTGAGACCTGGCAGTTGTAAAGAGAGAAGCATGCAAGTGTTTGGGCACACATATGAACCCGAAAATGTACTGGGGAATGTTTACCTGCCGGCTTGAATTGTATTAATTTAAAAAAACTTATTTATCAAAACTGGAGCAGTTGGCCATGGCAACCAATCAGCATCTACCTTTCATTTTCAAACCTTAACTGCACAAACTGAAGAGAGAAGCTGATTGGTTGCTATAGGCAATTGCTCCAGATTCTTCTGTCCCAGTTTTGATAAATTCCCCCCACATAGTGTTTAATACTACTTTACATTTTTTTAAAGAAAACGGTTTCTATCTTCTAATATCTCATCATCACAGGGCGGGATAAAGTTTGAAATAAATGACCTGATTACAGAAGAGGAAATGACTGATGGGCCTACTGCAGAAGATCACAGTAGAGACGATGTAGAGGTCAGAAGAGTCTGGTTATTGTGTGCATTCACCTATTCACTCTTTTGCCGTTTGTATCATTGAGATACCACATTCAGTAGACGCCTAATTCACTTCTTGATCCTAAAATGATTTCACGTGTATATTTTCTTCTGTTGTCATGGTCAAGACGAAAGTAAATCATTCATTTCATATTCTTCTAAATGAAGTAAACGTGAAGCCTGTGAAGTTTCTTATTTATCGCATTCGTCAGTATTTAGTGTCAGGAACATAACCGAGCATTTACATCCACACGGATAACTTTTTTCTCCTTAATCCAATCACCACCATGGAATGTGCCAAGGCCGGTGTTATCCAAGAACAGGGTGTGAGATAGGAAAGTTGTGGAACCTCCCGCTTTTTACATCTTCCCATCTGTTGGTGTTAGCAAGTCTTCGTGGGTGTTATTCCTTTGATCTATATGGCTGAAATTGTGAATTGTCAAATTGCTGGATGTTAAAATGGCATTTTATGTGGGTGACAGACGGTCTCAAAGGCCCCCACCCCTGTTTAGGCTGGTTGTTTGAGTTTGGACATAATTTCCTCCAGGAATGGTGAAGGAACGCCGTTCACAACAAGGCCTGAGAGCACAAGTACATCTGACCTTGCAAAGGATTTGTCCTACAGAGAACGTATTCACACCTAGATAATGGTCACCTAGTTCGATAATCACCTAGAGAACATCAGAAGCTGGAGATCCACATTCATGTCTGTAGTTCAAGATCTCAGCACCTCCTCGCATGCAATTTGATCGTCTAATTAGATGGCTGGGCTCTCAATCATTGGACTTTCTAAGAGATTTAAAACTGTTCAAATCCATCAACCTTGAAAATGCCTTAATCTCGCTTGGCAGAGGTAGAGTAAGGTTTATGTCCACCCTGAAATATAGACTTCCCTAGATTGTCCAACAGAGACATCCAAGAAATCCATTTTAGAAAACTTCAGAAGCTGGAGATCCACATTCAAGTCTGCAGTTCAAGATCTCAGCACCCCAATGCAAGAACTTGATCTTCTAATTAGATGGCTGGGCCCTCAATCATTGGACTTTTTTTAAAAGGCCTAAAACTGTTCACATTCATTAAATGGGAAACTGCCTTAATCTCACATGGCAGAGATTAGAGCAAAGTTACAGCAGCCCTGAATAGAATTTGCCTTATTCAAAAGATCACAAGACTTTACTAGATTGTCCAACAGGGACAACCAGAAGTCGTCTGCCCCAAGAAACCCATTGTAATTCCAGGTTGTAATTCAGTAAAACAGGAAATACACCAAGGGCGTGAATACTTTACTATTACAAATTCAGTCATTTAAAACAAGTTTTTGCTGATTGCAGGAGACAGATCCTCTGAATGATACTTTAACCTTCGATCATGGAATGAAGTTGGAGGGTGTAAAGTGGCATGAGATGCACGAGGACCCAGGACAATCAGGTACAAGACATGTGACTCACAATACAACATTAACTTATTTTGACACTTGTCCTTCCTAATTCCAAAGCATTTGAAACATATTATTGTAAGGATGTCTATTTATAGAGAATTCCAGATAACAACTGCTGTTTGTTTTTGCACACACCGTCATATTCAGCATTATATGACCGATGCGGGGTATGTGGACTATAGTACAATTTGTGTTGATTTTTTTATATTTAGACAATGGAAACCTTGATGATATACCACAAAATAGGAAACAATGGACAGCAAGAGCGCCTCAGACACTTATTGGCAATTTATTGGCAGCTGGCATGACGTCCATGTGTGATACCGTGGCTGGTGAGAATTCACATATACAGGTGAAACTCGAATAATTAGAATATCGTGCAAAGTTCATTTATTTCACTAATGCAACTTAAAAGGTGAAACTAATATATGAGATAGACTCATTACATGCAAAGCAAGATAGTTCAAGCCGTGATTTGTCATAATTGTGATGATTATGGCTTACAGCTCATGAAAACCCCAAATCCACAACCTCAAAAAAGTAGATTATTACATGCAATCAATAAAACAAGGATTGTACATAGAACAATATCGGACCTCTGAAAAGTACAAGCATGCATATGTACTCAGTACTTGGTTTGGGCCCCTTTTGCAGCACTTACTGCAATTACTTTTGCACGATATTCTAATTATTCGAGTTTCACCTGTATAACTTACATTTTGATCCTTCGTAACTACCCTGTCAGAGTCTTATCCTTGTGTCTGTGTGCCTCTTTTGCCTGTGAAGTATTTCCAATGGGTGAATGATAAATGAACTGTTTCACAATTTCAATTGTCTGCTAACACTCCGTGAAGTGATGCTTACCTTTCCGGTGGCCTGTTTGTTGATATGCCTCTTCATGCCCATGTCTCTACTTCTTCCCAGCCGCTGCAAGTATGCGACAGGCTGGATGGTCCAAGACCTGTATCGGATGTATCCCCCATCATTTGCAGTGATTCCCCCCCTTATACGTCACCATAGAACATATAAGCTGGCAGGACCACTGCAATGTTTCCCCAGCTATGAAGATGAGCACGGATAAATGGATTTTACTCAAAGTGTATGTCAAGGCAAAAACACATTCTAAAGTTCTGGAGAGAGTAGGGAAGGAATAGAACTCCCATTGGGTTTTAAATGCTATTTGCGGCTCGGTTAAGGAGACTTTCACTCACTTTCTGTACTGGTGACAACAGTTTACCAGACCGGAAGTAACAAAAATTATCCAGGAACACCTCCTAATTTGTTCTCTGGTGGAGGGATAGTTCCCCTCTTAGACGGGCAGAAAAAAATCTGAAAGGGATTCTGGCTCTCCCCTAGATAGGCATTTTTATTTATGTCTGTGTTCCTGTTGGAGAGTAAATATTTCTAATGGAACCCCAAATAGCAGTGAAACGTGACAGAGATTCTAACCTTTCCCACTTTGTCCAAAACGAAGAAAATTTTTTTTGGATGGACACTGCAAACTTGTTCTGGGTCACTGACTCAGAAAGAATTGAAGAAACAGCATAACAGTCAGGCAACTGGCATTCTCAGTATGACAACGACAATATTGGCAGCCTTCATATTTCCTTTAGATCTTTGATAACCAAAATCATTCAGACAGGACATTGGGATCTAGGTCAAAGAGGGGGACTATTCCTTCATGAGACACGTCAGGATGTGTTCCTGGTTGGATTACGGTGCCTCTTCTTAGACAAAGACATATATATATATATTTATATTTTTTTAAACATATTTTCCTCTTCATTTACAGAAGATGATGATGATGATGATGATACACCAGTGAACAGGAAACAGTGGAAACAGGAGGCACCAGGAACACTGATGAGGATTCTGGGAGAAGTAGACATGAATGACTCCATTTTACCCACCAAAGACTTGCGTGGTAATAATCATTACTTTATAATCATTCATATATTTATCAGGTCATGTATGTCTGAATTGGTCAGGGGGTAGTTATGGAGCAGAGATGATTGTCATAGCAGAGAACAGTATGCAGGGGACAGAGGCCGCAGAGGCCGCAGTTATGGAGCAGAGATGATTGTCATAGCAGAGAACACTGTGCAGGTGGCAGAGGCCGCAGTTATGGAGCAGAGATGATTGTCATAATGGAGAATAGTGTGCATTTAGCAGGGAACAGGGGCAGTAGAGGGGGTAGTTATGAATTATAGATGATTGTAACAGCAGAGAACAGTGTGCAGGGGGCACAGGCAGCAGAGGGGGTAGTTATGGAGCAGAGATGATTGTCATAGCGGAGAACACTGTGCAGGTGGCAGAGGCCGCAGTTATGGAGCAGAGATGATTGTCATAATGGAGAATAGTGTGCATTTAGCAGGGAACAGGGGCAGTAGAGGGGGTAGTTATGAATTATAGATGATTGTAACAGCAGAGAACAGTGTGCAGGGGGCACAGGCAGCAGAGGGGGTAGTTATGGAGCAGAGATGATTGTCATAGCAGAGAATACTGTGCAGGGGCAGCAGAGGGGGTAGTTGTGGAGCATAGCTGAGTGTCATAATGGAGAATAGTGTACATGTAGCAGGGAACAGGGGCAGTAATGAATTATAGATGATTTTAATATCAGAGAACAGTGTGCAGGGGACAGAGGCCGCAGAGGGGGTAGTTATGGAGCAGAGATGATTGTGCAGGGGACAGAGGCCGCAGAGGGGGTAGTTATGGAGCAGAGATGAATATCATAGCAGAGAACAGTATGCAGGGGACAGAGGCCGCAGAGGGGGTAGTTATGGAGCAGAGATGATTGTCATAGCAGAGAACAGTGTGCAGGGGACAAAGGCCGCAGAGGGGGTAGTTGTGGAGCAGAGATGATTGTCATAGCAGAGAACAGTGTGCAGGGGACAAAGGCCGCAGAGGGGGTAGTTGTGGAGCAGAGATGATTGTCATAGCAGAGAACAGTGTGCAGGGGACAAAGGCCGCAGAGGGGGTAGTTGTGGAGCAGAGATGATTGTCATAGCAGAGAACAGTGTGCAGGGGACAAAGGCCGCAGAGGGGGTAGTTGTGGAGCAGAGATGATTGTCATAGCAGAGAACAGTGTGCAGGGGACAAAGGCCGCAGAGGGGGTAGTTGTGGAGCAGAGATGATTGTCATAGCAGAGAACAGTGTGCAGGGGACAAAGGCCGCAGAGGGGGTAGTTGTGGAGCAGAGATGATTGTCATAGCAGAGAACAGTGTGCAGGGGACAAAGGCCGCAGAGGGGGTAGTTGTGGAGCAGAGATGATTGTCATAGCAGAGAACAGTGTGCAGGGGACAAAGGCCGCAGAGGGGGTAGTTGTGGAGCAGAGATGATTGTCATAGCAGAGAACAGTGTGCAGGGGACAAAGGCCGCAGAGGGGGTAGTTGTGGAGCAGAGATGATTGTCATAGCAGAGAACAGTGTGCAGGGGACAAAGGCCGCAGAGGGGGTAGTTGTGGAGCAGAGATGATTGTCATAGCAGAGAACAGTGTGCAGGGGACAAAGGCCGCAGAGGGGGTAGTTGTGGAGCAGAGATGATTGTCATAGCAGAGAACAGTGTGCAGGGGACAAAGGCCGCAGAGGGGGTAGTTGTGGAGCAGAGATGATTGTCATAGCAGAGAACAGTGTGCAGGGGACAAAGGCCGCAGAGGGGGTAGTTGTGGAGCAGAGATGATTGTCATAGCAGAGAACAGTGTGCAGGGGACAAAGGCCGCAGAGGGGGTAGTTGTGGAGCAGAGATGATTGTCATAGCAGAGAACAGTGTGCAGGGGACAAAGGCCGCAGAGGGGGTAGTTGTGGAGCAGAGATGATTGTCATAGCAGAGAACAGTGTGCAGGGGACAAAGGCCGCAGAGGGGGTAGTTGTGGAGCAGAGATGATTGTCATAGCAGAGAACAGTGTGCAGGGGACAAAGGCCGCAGAGGGGGTAGTTGTGGAGCAGAGATGATTGTCATAGCAGAGAACAGTGTGCAGGGGACAAAGGCCGCAGAGGGGGTAGTTGTGGAGCAGAGATGATTGTCATAGCAGAGAACAGTGTGCAGGGGACAAAGGCCGCAGAGGGGGTAGTTGTGGAGCAGAGATGATTGTCATAGCAGAGAACAGTGTGCAGGGGACAAAGGCCGCAGAGGGGGTAGTTGTGGAGCAGAGATGATTGTCATAGCAGAGAACAGTGTGCAGGGGACAAAGGCCGCAGAGGGGGTAGTTGTGGAGCAGAGATGATTGTCATAGCAGAGAACAGTGTGCAGGGGACAAAGGCCGCAGAGGGGGTAGTTGTGGAGCAGAGATGATTGTCATAGCAGAGAACAGTGTGCAGGGGACAAAGGCCGCAGAGGGGGTAGTTGTGGAGCAGAGATGATTGTCATAGCAGAGAACAGTGTGCAGGGGACAAAGGCCGCAGAGGGGGTAGTTGTGGAGCAGAGATGATTGTCATAGCAGAGAACAGTGTGCAGGGGACAAAGGCCGCAGAGGGGGTAGTTGTGGAGCAGAGATGATTGTCATAGCAGAGAACAGTGTGCAGGGGACAAAGGCCGCAGAGGGGGTAGTTGTGGAGCAGAGATGATTGTCATAGCAGAGAACAGTGTGCAGGGGACAAAGGCCGCAGAGGGGGTAGTTGTGGAGCAGAGATGATTGTCATAGCAGAGAACAGTGTGCAGGGGACAAAGGCCGCAGAGGGGGTAGTTGTGGAGCAGAGATGATTGTCATAGCAGAGAACAGTGTGCAGGGGACAAAGGCCGCAGAGGGGGTAGTTGTGGAGCAGAGATGATTGTCATAGCAGAGAACAGTGTGCAGGGGACAAAGGCCGCAGAGGGGGTAGTTGTGGAGCAGAGATGATTGTCATAGCAGAGAACAGTGTGCAGGGGACAAAGGCCGCAGAGGGGGTAGTTGTGGAGCAGAGATGATTGTCATAGCAGAGAACAGTGTGCAGGGGACAAAGGCCGCAGAGGGGGTAGTTGTGGAGCAGAGATGATTGTCATAGCAGAGAACAGTGTGCAGGGGACAAAGGCCGCAGAGGGGGTAGTTGTGGAGCAGAGATGATTGTCATAGCAGAGAACAGTGTGCAGGGGACAAAGGCCGCAGAGGGGGTAGTTGTGGAGCAGAGATGATTGTCATAGCAGAGAACACTGTGCAGGTGGCAGAGGCAGCAGAGGGGGTAGTTGTGGAGCATAGCTGATTGTCATAATGGAAGCTGCAAAGGAAGGGCAACTCCATACTAATACCCATGGTTTTTGATGGGGATGTCCAACAAGCTCATATACTGAAGGTCTCATGCAGTGACGTGCGGTACCTCTGGATCGGGGTGAGGCAATCCCCAGCCTCGCCCACAGCACGTCCCACCCTGCCCCCACCCCCAACCCAGTGTAAAGGAGGAAGGGAGGAGCCTCCCTGTCCCTCACTTGCTCGTCACTGCTGAGGTATCGAGATCAATGTCCTTAGTGTTTTTTTTTTCTTTCTTTTTTTGATTTGACAGCTGGGACCAATGGCGCTTTGCCATTGGTCCAAGCCATCCACAGAGCTCATGCCTCCAACAATTAGAGGCTGTGACAGCTCTTGCCTCAATAGTTAGGTTACACAAGCAGTGGGGATGCCTGCTGCTGTGTAACCTAACTACCTGTCAAAAGCCGGATGCAGCACTCCGTCCATGACAGGTTACACATCGAGGAGGATTTCACTGCTGTGTAACCTGATAGAAGCTGATCTGAATGGAGGAAAAGCTGTCCGCTTCAGACTTGAAGCTGACGCTTTTTCCTCCATAATACTAGTTGAGGCTCTGCCTCACCTGACCGCACGTCCCTGGTCTGATGGTCAGAAGTCCACTTTGACCAAATAAAGCAAAGAGTGTTTATTTGATCATATGGGCAAGCTGCTTGAAATTTCTACTATAAATGAAATGGTTTCATTATGTGCCATGAGCATTAGTCTTCATCTTCATAACAATTAGTCATTTGATGGTGGTAGTACTAGATATTTCTTCTGAACAAATGTTTCCAGACATCAGCTGTGGTCAGGGAAAGAGAAACCGGGTGTCACCAGAAATTAAATAGCAGATTTGATGATACTTTTATTTCTCAGCTGGAACACTGAAGAAGTGGCCTCCTGAACAGGCAGAAAAAGAGGCGACAGAACAGACATCAGAAGAGGATTTGGATGAAGAGCGCTTTGAGCCCAGATCTGATGACGAGGACACGTAAGAACAAGATAAATACTAAATAATAGAATAATAATAGCCCCACCCCCCTCTAGCCCATTCAGCAGAGTATTTTTCCTTACTGTGCAAAGCAAGTTATGCTCACCTAGGTACGACCTCGGGTCCCTATCTGGTGCTGTTTTTGGCTGCAGGGGACTGCTAATCCAGTACTGCAGATGGTTCCTCTATCGTCCCCTTGCAATGACATCACTCCTCTTCTGGACCCAGCCACTGGACAGCCAATGAAAGTGTCCACATTACACAGATGTTGTGGACACCCAACAAAGGACCGCGCAGGAAGAGGTAAGACTCAGGACCATGGCTTTAGGTAAGTTCAAAGTTTTCTTTTTGTACTTCAGCGATCATTTAGAGCTGGATAGGAGGAGGTATTATTCTGAAGATGGGCTTTACATAAATGAAACCTGTTCCTTTCTCCACTTAGGCACTAGCAGGGGTCTTCCACAGAGGGTTCAGTAGAATATTGTGTGCACTGTATCCTGAGATGTGTTACCAGATGCAATACAGAACCTGTGTATCCCAGCACAATCACAAACTCCTGTAAGGCCAGGGAGTGAGCATAGGCTAGCCGAAGTGGTGTGTCCAGGGTATGGCACGTATAGCACATGCCCTGGGCACCACTTAAAGACAGCTGTTGTTTTTTTTTTGCTTAAGATTTACTCTAAAGGCTCTGTTCACCACTAATAATGACAGAATTGCGGTTACTGCCACTAATTACTTGTAAGTTGCTAATTCTTCCTGTTCATAACAGCCCAAAATAAATATGGGGTGTTGGCGGAACGGACGGGGAGGGGGCGGGTACAGCTGGCTCTGCCTCTAGATAGGCAGTCAGCTGTCACTCACGCAGCTGGGTGGATCCAGACAGTAATGTCGGGATCCGTCCCGGCTCCGGCGTCTCAGTATACCGTGAGCTACAGCTCGCTATATACTGAGCGTTGGGTGACGGGAGGATGCTAGTTTGTGCCCTTCTGTTTCCCTTAGGAGAACTATGGGGAAAAGCCCTGACCCCATAGTTCTCCTTTTTTAAGTTGGAATTTGAGACTTGCTTACTTCATCAGGGGCACTGTGAAGATTATCTGAGAACTTCTTTTTTCAACGTGTGTAAATCTTTGTACATTTTGTTATCTTTTAAAAGGACCTTTGAAGAGTCTGAAGAAGAGCTGGAGGTCATAGAGATTTTGGAAAAAGTTTTAGCTTTCAGAGATGAGAATGATGACAATCAGACCAATGAAGATCCCACCATGCGAAGATCCAGTGATAACCATCAGAATGCAGATAATCCTGACCCTGTACAAGTGGACCAGTCAGAATCAGAACAAGCCATAATGAAGAGCAATCATGAGGACCAGACTACAGCAGGGAAACAGAGCGAGATCTCGGTTGTGACAAATCAGACTACAGAGGAGGTAAAAGAAGAAGCTCAATCTCAGCTCTGTGCCCCAGAATCCACAGGCAGTAAAGACGGCGTGCAATCTCCTATTTGTTCTGTAGAGTGATCACACAGCACTGGCCATCCATGCCTATCAGTGGTTTTCGTGCAATGATACTTCTAAGTATGTGACTTCTAGCCACAGCCAGGAATGACAGATGCTGGTGTCCTCCACCGTGCACTGTGGTTCCATCCACCGTATGACTGCAGAACACAGTATTAATGTAGTAGGGGTCAGTGGAAGGAACCACAGCAGTGGGGAAACACAGGTATCTGACACTCCTGGAAGTGATGAATGCTGAAGAGTCCTACGGAGGTTCTAGCACTTTAACAATGAAGACTGGAAACAGGGATCTGCTTTTAGGATTTATTTAGTGATGAGTGTTATGTTAGGGTGGAGCTCCCAACTCATCCCTACTATATGTACATATAACAAATGTTATACCTTTTTATCTAGAAGAAAGAGGGAGGTTGCAGACTCAGACAGGAGGGTAGTGGAGCAGCCTAGAATTCCATCTGATGATGTTAGAGCTTGGAAGATAATAATGGTGTATGCTTTAACATGCCAGATTCCTCCCAACAATTGCATGTGTTTGTAGTGGGTGGGGCTATCCTGTCATGCTTTCTAGGTGAGTAGTATTAGTGCTCTAGGATTGCTTGTAGTACTGCCAACTTCTGTACACTAGTCATTGTCAAATGCTTCTTGCCTCAGTTGCAATACAAGATATCCCTCTACCTACCTGTGATGGATCATTTCATAAGACCTGCAGGTTTAGGTCTGATTATAGATGGAGTTACATACGTTTTTCTTGCAGTCTATGTATCCATCCCACCCTGACACACAAGGGGATCTATTTATAAACCGTTTGCAGGGCCGTTCACCCAGCGGATATCTGTGGATGTTCGCTCTGTGCAAATATAGGCCAAAGCTAACTTTTCTGTACAAGTGCAATGTAATATTACATTATGGCCACTAGGTGGAGCTCATGAGAACAGTATTTATTGTCTACAAAAAACGAAATGATGTTAATTTTGGCATAAATTAAGAAAGAATGAACGATCACAGATATTTGCAGGGCAAAGGGCTCTGTGGATACTTATAACTAGTCCCCAAGGTGTCACCTGGACAGGAGAGGGGAGATCTCTCAACAAGGGACACCTTACGAGCACTTTACAAAAACTCTACTCCTTCTGCCCTCTACCAGAAATGGTCTTTTATTTGCTTACTGTGCCTCTGATGGGAGAGATTTACATTGACTTCCTGTCCCAGTGGCAAGACGACAAAAAATAAATAAATGAGGGTACATTTCCCTAATGGGGACACAGTATTCCAAATGGGACAAATGTCCAGACACTTCCCCGCACCCAATCCAAAATTTAAAAAAAATGTTTTTGTCAGAATTAGGACATTAGAGTGACCCGGTCATTACATTCTATACCTGACAAAGAAACAAGTCAGTATTTACCTTTCCAGTTGCCGCACCTTGTAAACACCACAAGCAATCCTTGGCTGAAGACTGAAGGGAAACTGACACTTTCAGCAGTGTCAATCTCCTGGGTCCCCCACAATGTTCAGGTCGGTGCTCC